TTTAGCAGGTTAATGTAAATTCCTTTAGCTGGTTCAAGGCTCATTTTGATGCCAGAGTGGGCGTCGGGTAAAACCCCAAGATCTTCAACCTCTTGTTAATTTAGGCCAGAGGAGCAAATAAAAGTCCTTTTGTATCACCTATGATCTAGCCCAGGCTGAAGGCAAAGCCTCAAAATCTCAATCTTACTTGGGTCATTGACCCATTGAGAAAATTCTATGAAAATAGCTAATATATATCGAACACTTACTACGAAGCCTTATGCAAATGTAGTCTTAAATTCTTATATTAGACTTCCAAGGTAGGTACAATTATGAATATCTCTGATTTTATAGGTGAGGAAACTGAGGCTTGGAGAGAGGTTTATATTATAACTCCCTCTAGGATTATAGAGAGTAAGTGGTCCACGTGGAATTTGAACTCAGGCTATTTGACAGCAGAGCCCTGGGACATACTGCCCTACACTGACCGGCTCATGTATCTACCATCCACAAAACAGCGTTTTGCAGACAATTTCAGGGGATTCATGGACCCCCTGAGGCCCACCCAGGAATGCCTAATAACCTGCCAGGGCAGGAATAATGGAGTACGTGGAGATTTAGATGTTTCCAGAATGTGATCACTTCTCACTGACTCCCGGCCAAGCCACCATTGCCTCATTCATGGATGGCTATTAGCAGCCTCCTAACTGATTCTTGCTTCTGCCCTTTCATCTCTTCTGTCTGTCCTCAGCAGAGCAGCCCACAAGACCTGCCAAAACATGAGTCCCCTCTTGTCACTCCCCTGCTTCTCGTTTCACTTGGAGTAAACGCTGAAGTCCTGCCATCTCCAAGTCCTACCCAGCCCGCCTCTCCCTGTGTCTCCCTGACCTTCTGTCCTGCTACCCCTCCCTTTTGCCCACTCTGTTCCTGCAACACTGGCTTCCTCCCTGTGCCTTGAATACACCAGGCGCAATCCCACCTCAGGGACTATGCACTACTTGCTCCTAAGGGAGTCTCGTGCCAATTTCCTCACTTCCTGAAAGTCTTGACTCAAACACCCCCTTCTAAGAGAAGTCTTTCCCGGTTGCCCTTGGCAAAATCTTAACCTCCCAGCCTTTCATCACACCCTTCCCCACTTTATTTTTTCTGCTTAGGACTTATAGCCATCTAATGTGGTTTAACTGTTAAATACACGTTTATCTCCAACTTACAATGGTTCAACCTACAATTTTTCGACTTTATGAGGGTGTGAAAGCAATACGCATTCAATAGGAGCCATACTTCAAGTACCCACACAAACATTCTGTTTTTTTCATTTTCAGTACAGTATTCAATATATCACATGGGCTGTTCAACAATTTCCTGTGAAATAGGCTTTGTGTGAGATGATTTTGCCCAGCTGTAGGCTAATGTAAGTATGTAAGTGTTCTGAGCACCTTTAAGGTAGGCTAGCTCTGATGTTTGGTAAGCTAGGTGTATTTAAATGCATTTTGACTTATGGTAGTTTCAACTTCCAATGGGCTTATCAGAACATAACCTCCTCATATATCAAGGAGCATCTGCATTTTGTTTATTCATCTTGCTAGTTTTCTGTCTGTGCACTATAACACTATCTCCATTAGGCAGTGATTTTTGTCTCTTCTGTTCAGTCTATCTCTATTCTCTGGAACAGTGCTCAGCACATAGTAGATGCTCAATAAATATTTGATGAATGAATGAACGAACCTGGTCCAATGCCCTTCTATCCACGGAGTCTGCAATTTGGGAGGCAAAATCCCAGGGAAGCCAGCAAGACTTCTGCATGGAGAGCAGCTGCGAGCAGTAACAGCTCGCGGGCTAAGAAACCTGCATGGCTCAGACACCCATGTTGGCAGGAACAAGGATGCAATTCCAGGGCCAGGGCAGGCTCACCTGGGAGGTGCGAACAGGCCTGGAATAGCCCTGTTGGGGGAGTGACCAGGAGTACAAACATTTCTGTTGGTACCAGCGTAACAATTACAGATGGTGCCTGTGCCTCTCCAGACAGTCTGTTTATTGTTGGTGGAAATGAGATCTGTACACTGTAGATACCCAAACAGCCAGGATTACAGCCGACACTCTGGGGTGAAAATTTCAGAACTTGGCTTATAAATGTGCTCTCTACACAGAAGTGGGACAATCTTGCGATTTGTCAACCGAGCATTAGGATTTCAAATGGCAGCCCTAGAGATAAACCTATGTAAAAGGACTATTTAATAATCTACCCTTCACTTCCCTTATCGACCCTAAAGATGATTATTCCAGACCTATTTTCCAGGAGATAAGTTGCCTTTTAAAAGCATTCTGATTTTTATTGCCATTTACCCTGAATTTTATCTCCTATATCAAATATATCAAATGCTGCTCTTGGGCAATATTTGGCCCAGAGAAGTTTTGTTTGGTTCCTGTGGTATGCCCTACCTGGCCCACATCACTCACCTGTTACCTGCCTGTCCCATGCAGGTATCTGAACCAGCAACCCTGGCATCTAACTCCAGGTGGTGGGTGGGCTGCCCTATTGAGGGTGCGGTGCGGGCATCCCTGGACACCAGAATGCAAGATTCTCCCAAGCATCATCCCAAAGAACCTCAAACATGAACTTATTAGGCAATCTTCTTCCCTGTCCAGGACCCTTGTGTTGGTTTATTATGAAGCAAAAATGGGAAGGAAGGAACCGTTTATATAATGACTTCCAGACTTTCAGCCACTAATACTGAGCTCTGTGACTAAACGTGCAGGATCTAGAGCCAGAAGACCTAGTCTCAAATCTTAGCTCCACCACTCACCAGATGCATGACCATGAATAAGTTTCTTAATCTTTCTATGCCTCAGTTTCCTTATCTGTAAAGTGATGATAATATTGGGCTAGAGTTGAGGATTAAATTATTCATGTAAAGCATTTAGAAAAGTACTTGGCATGTAAGTGGTGGTCAACAAGTGTTTGCTGGAATACAAAAATCTCGGGGCATCAAGAAAACAGTCAAACTTTGAGCTGGCAGAGTGGACTTCAAAACTTGGCCCCACCACGCCTAGGAGAAGCAATGCCACTCCCCTGGTCTCACCTCCAGAACTCGTGGCAGCAGAATCTATTTCATAGGTTATTAAATGGGAGTGATGGAAGAGAATGCAACCAAGAATTTTTAAAGTTCAAAGGCTGGAACATAATGGACATTTAAATGTTCATTAAATCTTATCTCATTTTAATGGCATGTTTCTCGGACCATTTTCTTGACCTCTACTCACATCCAGCTAAATCTGTTGGGTGACAGATACGCTAGACTGGAAGAGAGAGAGAGTGATGGGAGATGGCATTTTGTTTCTGGTGCAGATCATGTTGAATATATAGTCATTCTTTTTGTTCTGTGGACTTTACAAATGACCATTCTTGGATTTTCTGGGCAGATATCCTAGTCTGGAAGGATTAAACCTAGTGTTCTCTGGTGATCTCTGACAACACAAAATCAGTGTGTTTCAGTTTGCTTTTGTTGTGTAACAAACCACCCCAAAACTTAGCGGCTTAGAGCAACAGTCCATTTATTGAACCCAACAACCATACAAGTTGGCAGATTGGCCTGAATTCACCTGGGCAGTTCTTCTGGTCTGGGCCAGGTTTGGCTGAGGTTGGCTGGGTTCACGCTTTCATCTGTGGCCAGGCAGTTGTCCCGCTGTGGCTGGGTGATGCATGGTGGCGTGGTCCAGAGTGCCCGAGGTGATGGAGCCTTTGGTCTCCCATCCTCCAACAGGCTAGCCTGGGCGTGCTCTGGGGCGGCCCTGGGTTTCCAGGAGCTGCACGAGGGCAAATCTCAATGCCTAAGAGCTTCTCAAGTGTCTGTATGAGTCACATTTGCTACTATCTTGTTGGCCAAAGCAAAGCCATAGTCAAATGTTTAGTCAGTGTGGGAGGGCACTACAAAGGGGTTAATACAGAAAGGGGACCCACTGTAGCCATTTTTGCAAACAGTAGACACCCATGGCCATAAGCCAAGCTAGAAAACCGCTCCCTCAACTTCCAATAAGTGGAAATTCCAGAAGGTGCGTGAGTATTCCTCCTCCATGTCCCACCTGCAAGTTCTCAGACTCTCAGGGAATTTGTTCCTCGACGATGGCACTTACCAGGCTTCTAGCAAAGTCTATACATAGCTGTCTCCTCAAGCCTGGTTCACAGTTTTCCCCATTTGAGCCCCCCAACCCCTGCTTCCCTGTGTGTCCTGGCTTGTCCAGAGTGGCACAGACAATAGGCTGGTACAGCTGTGAGTCAGCGTCTCCTGAATGCCAAACTCTGCCGGCGCCATATGCTGTCTGGGGAAAGGCATCATTCACTCTGAGCGTCATTGCTGAGAACTGGCAGAGGCTTCTGCTGGGGCTGGAACCTCTCACAGTAGAGACAAGTACTGGGACCCGGTACACCTCCAGGCCCCAGGAAGCCGAACCAGTTGAACCAATGACAAATCTCTTGGGTCTCCTCAGATTTCTGAATCCTACCTCCCTAGGCCACTAGTGCAGAGCGGGGCTTGTGGTCTGAGTCCCCAAGACTCTCCGAAGAGACTCGGCAGGGCTAAAACCCCAAGAACTTTGCTGGAACAATCTGGCACCTGCCCGATCCTTCTACACTGTGGGCTACGTCATCCTGTTTGGCTGGGTCCATGCAGTGGGCAGGACTCTCAGCTGCAGCTGAGAGTGTGTGGGGCCCAAGGGTCAATGCCAAGTCACACACAAGAAAGAGTGCTGGGGGCCAAGGCTGCAGAAGTGTGCCCTAATGGGACAACCCTCACAGCAGCTGACACAGGCAGAGCGTTTGCTATACAGTCACGCGTCGCTTAGTGACCGGGGTCTGTTCTGAAGTGCATCGTTAGGCAACTGCAGTGTCACTGACAACCCTGACCCTATACAGGCTTTAGGCTAACATGGTGTATGTTTGCATCTTAGTTTTTAACAACAGATTTTAAAAAGGAAAATAAATGGATAAATAAATATAAAGATAGAAAAAAGCTTATAGAGTAAAGATATGAAGAAAGAAGATATTTTTCTATGGTTGTACCATGGGTTTGTGCTTTAAGCTAAGTGTTACTACAAAAAAAAGTCAAAAAGTTTTTAAAAAAATGTAAAAAGTTTACAAAGTAGAAAGAATTGCAGTAAGGTAAGTTTAATGTATTATTGACAAAAGAAAAACATTGTTTTATAAATTTAGTGTAGCCTAAGTGTAAGTGCTTATGATATGTCTACAGCAGTGGACGGTAATGTCCTAGGTGGTAGGTGTGAATTCACTGACCACTCTCTCACTGATCACCCAGAGCATCTTTCAGTCCTGCCAGCTCCGTTCACAGTGAGAGCCCTACACAGGTGTATTGTTTTTTTATCTGTATGTTGCCCTTATACTGTCCTTTTTCTATATTTAGATACGTTCAGATGCACAAGCATTTCCCATTGTGTTACAGTTGCCTGCAGCATTTGGTACAGTCACATGCTGTACAGGCTTGTGGCCTGGGAGCAACAGGTTGTACCACACTGTAGTAGGCTGTACAAGATCAGTATATATAAGTGCACTATGATGTTCACGCAATGGCGGACTCGCCTAATGATGCATTTCTCAGAACATATCCCTACCATTAAATGGTGCATGACCATTGCACTGAATCAATGCAATTGACCATTGCAATTGAATCAATGACGTAATTCATTCTTTTCTTCCCTTCCCAAGTTCAGAGCCAATTGAGTCAAAAGTCAAACACATGGCAATCAAAATGTCAGCTCTGTCACCAGTGAAGGTGGTCAGAGGATGTGACTCTAGTTCTGCAGCTGAAAGGTGCTGCTGGGTCAGAGTCACTGGTACCAGCAGAGCCAGGTGACAGCAGGTGTCCCCCACAGAGCCCACTGCTCTGCACTGATGGCCCAGAGGACAGGAATACCTTTGCTTGAGACTGGCTGGTCCTAGCAGGCTTGAGAAGGAGGGCTGCTGATCACAGCATCCTGGTGACTTCTTCTCCCAAATCTGCCAACCAGTTAAGTCAATGTGAGGATAGAAAAGGTGAGGGGAAAGACCAAGAGCATTATTCTAGCTGAAGGCTTTTTACATGATTATAAGTGGTCAAGGAAGTGAATTTTCCCTGACTGGCCAACTCCAAGTATGGTGAAGGGTGCATGTCCTTCTGTGCTGGCCCGAGAGATTCTCACTTGGACAGAGGACAGGGTCTGAAAATCCAAGAGAGTTGTAGGGTCATAACCTACCCCGAGGAGGGCGCAGGCCACTATCAGCTTAGATTTTATCCCAGCCCTCCCGCTAACCCCAAAATACCAGGCACTCGGATCGTCCTATAGATTGTACGTAAGACAGTGTTTTGCTCTGCGTTTACTTGGCATCTGGTGTGTGCCGGCACTGTGCTAGGCATGGAAGGGATGAAGGGGAAGAAGGCAGTGTCTGCCCTCGAGCGTTGCTTATTTGAACAAGTAACACAGGGCTGTGTAATGAGTGCACAATGCAGGCATGTGCAAGGTATTCAGGCAGCCGAGAGACGCAGAGGATGAGCTGTTTCTTGCATGGAGGGATAACGAGGGCTTCTCAGCGGAAGAGATGTGGATGCCGGCGTCGGAAGGGTGAGCAGGAGTCCACCCAGAAGACAAGGCTGGGAAGCGCATTCTGTGCAGAGATGTGTAAACATGTACTAACTGCTGGGGGAAACTTAAATACTCCTGTATTTTCAAAGCAGTCCAGGATGCACGAAGAAGAGTGTCTAAGGATCGCAGCAAGTACTGGATCTAGAAAGGTCTAAGCGATAGTCAGAATTCGTTGTATACGTGACCACTTCTTAAACTTGTCATTCACGTAGCCCCTTGGTGATTTTCTTTGTATCAGGTACTTGGGTTTTTGACTTAAATGCTTTAGAAAGTAAACTTTTTATCACTGCAATAAATGGAAAATGGGTATCATCTGTCAAAGAAATAAGTACAACAAAACCAAAATAATGTTACTCAATTCTGATTAGTCCCTGTTTCCTGCTGAAAGCTTGGAGCCTGAGACCTGCCCTCTCTTCGTTAAAGATGGAGATTGGCACGTGCTGGAGAGGTTTTCCAGACACACTAACACAACCTGAGACTTTGTCCTTGACTAAGGGAGAGGCTGGAAAGAGACCAACCTTTTTGGTCTATGATTCGGCGTTAGCTGCGCTGGGCCCACTGACCGCCCCAAATCATCCCACCCCATAAGCCATGGGGAACCACATTAGGAGGCAGGGGCGTAGCGTGGTCCAATGGAAGAATTAAGTAAAATGATGGAGCTTATTAGAAGGTGGTAAGTGATACAAAGAAAATAACAAGAATCGGGGATAAGGAGTGCCAGGGGAGGGGTGTTGCAATTTTAAACAGGTGGTCAGGGAAGTCCCCCGAGAGGGCAAGGGTGACATTTGAGCACAGACTTGAAGAGGGTGAGGGAGGAAGCTGCATAGACATCTGAGGGAAGAGCATCCGTGCAGAGAGGATGACATGTGCAAAGGCCCTGAGGTGGGTGAGTGCCTGGCGTGTTCGACTGCAAAATAGCCAGTGAGGCTGGAGTGGGGCAAGGGAGGGGCGATGGTTGGAGATGAAGCCGTAGGAGCAGAAGGAGGGAACAGATAGCATCTTGGGATTGCCCAAAGTCCTATTCTATTCCTGCAACAACCTCAGAGGGGAAGAGTGAGAGTCAGTCGGCCATTCTGTATTCTTTCCACAAGCTGAGCACCATCTTCATAAGTCAGTGCCAGGACCATCTCCGCAGACTGCCTGGGCTCTGGCTACAAACTCAACAACTGTGCCATGTCGTCACCAACCCAGCATCTCTGTCTAGACAGCTCCAAACTGAGGTTGTGTTTTCCAAGCAAATGACCAGTCTGACTGATTGTGTCTCTGGATTCCAGCAGAATCCACCAGGTGTTTCAGTATCTCGTAGACGGTCTCCGGAGCCTTCACGTGCCTAATGCCCCGCAGGCAGGACGGCTGTTGTCGTGAGTCCTCCTGGCTTCGGGACTGCTCCTGGGCTCCCCCGGGGAAGGTGATTGAGCTCCTCTGCAGACTGTGTTCCTGCCAGGTGCGTGTTTGCACCACGTCCTCGGACGGATGGAGGCAGATGGCGGACGGGGTGGGGGTCTGGGCAGCCCCACTGGGAATCCTCCCGGGAATCCGGCACTGAGCGCGCGGGGCCCGGGTGAGCCGGCTCCGTCTTGCATGAGATTGGCTGTGTCCGAGGTGTGGCAAGGGAAGGAGAGGAGCTCGGAGCTAATGAGCTGAGTTCGTGGCAGCATTAATGCGGCTGCACACCCAGCAGGCATCGCCATCCATCAGTCTGTCAGCCTCTCCGGGGGCCGCTGGAGTGTAAATTAATCTGGAGGTGGCAACTCCACTGCTGAATTCTTCCTCCAAATAGGCTTGTGTCTGGAATCTTTCCCTGGGCTCCCAAAGAGGATAAGGCAATCACTTCTGCCTTCTGCCGTCAAAGCATGGGGATTTCTCCATGGCCACAGACATCCCCCCCCCAACAAGGGGCTCAGGGGCCCTTGGCCTGGGAGAGAGACCACAGCTGGTGAGTCGCAGGGAGAAAAAAAGACGCTATGTGACGCCCTGGATCCAGATGGGCCTGAGACTAGATGAGTCACTGGACTCCCAAAGTATGTATGACAACAAATTCCCTTGTTGTTTGAGCTGAGTTTCTAGCACTTGCAACCAAAGAACAGATATTGGTTCAAATCCTAGCTCTGCCATTGACTAATTCTACGATCTTGGGAATGAATTTACTTTGTCTAAAGTTACCATCCTCATATGAAAAATAGAAATAATAATAACACGTGTCTTATAGGGTTGTTGGCAGGGCTAAATGAGAACACCGGTGGATGCTCCTGCCTGTTTCTTGACGTGAACAGGTGATCAGTGAAATGCTGGTTCCCCTCCTCCCCTGCTGCTGAGGGGAGGTGAGAGGACACTGAACTGGGCAGGGCAGACATTGGTGGCATCAGGAGCTAAGTAGAGTCACGTGAGCAGAGCATGTGAGCAGAGCATGGCTGCTTTCCGGTGTTGCCTCCTGTACTCTCTACTACTCTTTTTCCAGTTTTCCCATCTCCTCCCAGTCTCCAGACCCCGCCTTGCTCTAAAGAGGGTGCCAGAATGCACGATTCCTGTAACGGCTGCTCCCTGGAAGGCTGTGTCACGTGGAACCTCTTAGCCTTACCATCCGGAGCTCCAGGAAGGGAGAACTCTCAAGTCAGATAGAATTACATATACACCATTCCTTTGGAACCTTCAGCCCTCAAGATCCCAACATCGTGACTTCAGTTTTAACACAGTCGCTCCCGGTCCTCATGTCACTGCCTTTGGCGCTGCCTGTTGTGGAGGCAGCAGAAGCTGGAGGTGCGATTGCTCTTCCGTTGGGTGTTCTCAGCACCTGTGCTTGTTTGCAGGTGTCTGCACAGAAGAGAAATGCACAGGTGTGACTGTGAAGGACCTCCTGAATCAAACCTCGCCCTGAAAACCTTTGTGCTGCTGAGGCTAAACCTGAGCTTTGGTGTCTGAAAGTTTCCAAGAAACAGTAAACAGGGGAGTTTCATATTCTTTGTTGTTTCCCTTAAAATGGGAACAAATTGATATATAAATGGGAAAATATGTTTTCTTTACAACAAGTAATGCACTAAAAGAATGCAGCCTATAATTTGTATTTGCTGGTTAAAAAGGGGGGCGAGTCAAAGAAGTAAGATGGCTGAAATTCACATAAAATATTTCACAGTTTTAGAATTTTCAAAACACACGAAATAGGAAGAAGGAAGCTTTTGCCCAGAATCCTATGAAATCACCACTATTAAGTTATAATCACTGCCTCTTGAATTGTTGAGGAGTCTTTTCTCCATGTTTTTATTAGATTATTGTTTTATGTCCCAAGTTAATATTGTATTTAGATATCACATAGTCAGCCAAAAATTGAAATGTTTATCTCTGGGTAGAAAACATTTAGAAAAATGTATTCACGTATAACTAATATTGAAATGGAAAAAGATTTAATTTAAAAACGAAACCCATTATATTAACATTGAAATAGAGAAGAGATCTAATGTAAAAAAAAAACCTTTATATTAATTAACTGAGTAACATTCTCATGGTGAAAAAGTACTATATTAACTATAAATCCATTCATTATGTTGTTAAAAAAAAAAAAAAAAAAGAATTCATGTCCAGCCATGTTGGAATGGCAAGAGTCGAAGGAAACCCGTTGAAAAGTAGAGCTTGCAGGAACTGACAAGGGTAGGCACAAAGGGGTCTATAGGCACAGGTGACTTCCATGGCAAAAACCCCAACTTCTCAGCAAAGTGAGAACAGAAAGGTTTCCAGTGGCATTTGGGAAGCTGGATAAGATTCTTCACAGCATCTAAGAAACTTATGCCAAAGTTGCTTGGCTTAATTGTGTGCAAGACTTACAGGGACAAAAACTGTGGGTCCTTTGCCTGCTTCTCTTCTCCCAGCATCTTCTCAAGTGTCTGGAATCTAATGGGTCCTTAATAAACAGAAATTTAAAAAAAGAAGAATATGCCAGTGGCCAAGGCACACAGGCTGCAAACTGGCAGCTTGTTGGCTAGAGCATCAGGGGGCACGTTTTATTTGGTCCTTATTATAGTTTTTTTTTTTTTTCAGTAGCTATTGATGTTGTTTAAAAAACATTTGCCAAAATTTTATAACTGAGAAAATTTCACATGAAAATCTTTATTTCTGACTTTGCATTAAAAAAATAACATGCGTAGGATTTCCAAGAGAGTCGTGTGGTTCAGCGAGGGAGGTGAACTTAGCTGCGTTTAAGATTCCCAGACCATAGCAACATCCCTGCCATCCATATGCTCCATTTGGGGAAAATTCAGATCACTTTATAGTGCTTGCAGAATATTATAAACTGCAAACAGATGCCAATTCCCAAGCACATGGACCATTCTTGCCTCTGAGAGTCACAGGATGAAAGATAATGATAATTTTTTTTTTTAAGTTCAGGGAGTCTCCCACCAGCCCAGCAGTGACAGGCAACTGCTGTCCAGAGCTTCAGCCCCACTGCTCAGTCTGAAGCTTTGACACCCTTTAAGAGACAGAAAAATTGGGGAGGCTAAAAAAGCGGAAACATAGTAGATGGTGGGTGAACTCCATACCTCCTTCTGTTGAGGGTCAAGGTTAGCAATGAATCATATCCCTCTTCACTTCCTGGTTCTAAACTAAATAAAAATATAGAGGCAGGTGAACATTAAAATATAATTTCTTGGCCGGGCGCTGTGGCTCACGCCTGTAATCCTAGCTCTTGGGAGGCCGAGGCGGGCGGATTGCTCGAGGTCAGGAGTTCAAAACCAGCCTGAAAATAGAAAGAAATTAATTGGCCAACTGATATATATATAAAAAAAATTAGCCGGGCATGGTGGCGCATGCCTGTAGTCCCAGCTACTCGGGAGGCTGAGGCAGAAGGGTCACTCAAGCCCAGGAGATTGAGGTTGCTGTGAGCTAGGCTGACGCCACGGCACTCACTCTAGCCTGGACAACAAAGTGAGACTCTGTCTCAAAAAAAAAAAAAAAAAATATAATTTCTACTTATATTCCTAGTAAAGCTAGACTGAGGAATATGTCTTGAACACAAGGCCAAAATTAGGCATTATGCAGTTATGAATCGTCTCCTTTTAAACTTGACTTTGGGTCCTGCCTAATGGAAAAGTTGGGGCACCCACCCAGGAAGTCGCAGAAGGGACCTGGACTGGCCTCACTCTCATGAGGGCCTCAGAGAGAACAGTCAGAGGTGTGGCTTCCAGTCCTACCTCTAAAAACCAGGACAGGTGGGTCCTGCCCCAGGTGGGAATAAGGGCTCCATCATTTCTCTGCGAAAGGCAAGTCCCAGCAACAGAGGAAAAGGGAAAAGACGTGGTCAAGAAAGAAAGCTGAGCTACACTTGGCCCAAATTCCACTGTATAAATGTTAATTATGACATCTAACACTGGAATTATGTCTCAGGGCCATTCTAAGGGCTTTACACAATCTAACTTATCTCATTTGATCGTCTCAATCCTTGCAACAACCCTGCGAAATGTTATTACGATCGTCTCTGTTTTGTAGATAAGAAACCCAAGGAACAGCGAGGTTCAGTAACTTGCCTAAGATCACACTAGTTAGAGGTTGGGCTGAGTTTCAAACCCAGGTTCATTGGACTCCAAACCGGAGCTCCTGCCGAGACAGAAGGAAGGGCAGAAGCCTGGTCCACAAGGATGCAGGTGTCGGCAGGACTCTGCACAGCCACAGTCACAGGACTCTGTCACAGAAGGAGCTTCGGACCCTGTGTCTTCTCCCTGAGCCCTGGGACAGGTCCCGAACCATCACCTTCTGGTGCAGGGTCTAGGGAAGCCCACAGGCTCCTGGGTTCAACCTCTACTTTGCCACTTTTGAGCTGGATGTCCTTGGGTAACTTCTCTCGTCTCAGTTTTCCCATCTGCGAAATGGAGGAAAAAATACATCTACTGTCAGCTGTATCCGCTGTGAAAAGTTAGGCAGGCTCCGATCTCATCTAGACATCGACCTTGACCATCGTCTTTTTTTGTCAGGTAGATCTTCAGCCTTGCGTTTTTCACTTTCATGTGACTTACCACCACCACCCCAACCCCTCGTTTTTGCCTCTTTAACTTCAGGGTCTGTGGGAGATGGCTTGGAAGAGGAAAGCCCTCCCCTAACCTTGTTTCCTTAAGCCTATAGTACAGGAGAATCTTCCAGGTGTCAATCCCATCCATAGTCCCAGAAGACAGAATGAAGAGAAGCAAAGACGACTGGATGGACAGAACTTTGAACTTGGGGCTGTTGCCTTCCAATCTCACTCCCTGCCTCACCATGCATCATTATGGATTCCATGTTTGTGCTAGATTTTTTTGCCAGAGATGCTTCTCTACTGAGGATGAAATGGGGACCATTCCCCTAGAGGAACACCAAGCAGAAGGTCCTGCACACAACCGCCCAGCCCGATGGTCACTGGTTGCCAGAAGACTGGGAGTCAGAGATACAGACAGACCATCTGGCCCAGCCAGTTTTCCCAGCCTGTCTCCAAGGGTCAGGCCGTCAGAAATCAGCCTTTCTCTCCAGGCTCACGCATGGGGACCCCGGCTCACTCCTGCACACCCCAAGACTGAGAGGTAAATGTGCACCACTTACAGGGGGTGCAGTTAACACACAGATTATCTTCTAAGCAAAGTAGCTCTGGAGGCTCATTTTCTTCTCTCTCAAAACCCTCTCCAGGCAGCCGTGGATTCTGTTTTATAGCTCGAGTTAGTTGCACAATTAAACCCAAAGCAGCCCGTTTATGAATATGAGATGCCAAGTTTCCCTGCAAAGCATAGCAAAGTAACAGATGCTTGAGAGCAATAAACAAATTGAAATATAGCTTTTTGTTTCTCTCTCTGATGCTAATAGGCAGAAAACCTTTCTTGGGAAGTGCAGCTTGGGGCTGGGGCGCTGAAAGAGGGTGTGTTCACATCATTCCATTGGACTCAGGGTCTGGATAACCCACTTTTGAAGATCCACATTGGCCCAAACCCCCATGAAGGGGATTTCTCATGTGAAGCCCAGGGCCACTTGCAGCCTCGTGCAAAATAGACAAGCACCACTTTTTAGTAAGGTGCGGTGGAGACAGCTTGGTAAACTAAATGTAGACTTGATTTCACCCCCATTTCTCCCTTGGCTGGGCATCCATGGGCAGAAACCACCTCGCACAACTTTAAGTAGTAGGTCTGATACAGGTACTTTGACACCACCCAGATGGTGACCTCTGTTTTATAGATCTGAAAAAACAAAACAAACTCAAGAACCCCAAAAGGGAGACATTTTCTCCACCTTCCTTTGCTAGTTTGCACCTCACATTTTTAAAGTGTTCCTGAGGCATTGATTCCACTTTTGAATTATGAGTCACAATTCATCAGAGTCCCTAGCATTTATGAGTGAGTTTTTGTGGGCACCTGGGAATTTCCCACTCCATGCCCCAATGGCCATTTCAAACCTGTAAGTCCACTTTAAGTCTCCAGCCCTGCCCTTCCCAGCCCTTCCCAGGGCTGACCTTGTTTCTGCAAATCCTTCCATTTTTCCACTGTCTTAGTCTGCTCCTGCTGCTATAACAAAATACCATACAGTGGGTGGCTTATAAACATTTATTTCCAATAGTTTTGGAGGCTGGGAAGTCCAAGATCAAGGTGCTGGAAGATTCAGTGTCTGCTAAGAGAATTCCCTGGTGCCTATAGAGCCATGAGAAGGGAGCTGCCTGAGGTCTGTTTTACAAAAGACACTAATGCCATGCATGAGGATGCATGCACTTGTAGCAGACACTGCCAATGTTCTGCTCAGATACCTTTTGGTCTTCACCCTTACACAATGAAGACTGAGCAGAAACATGCTTGGCCTGTGAAAGGCAGGCCAAAATTCTAGAGGCTTCATACCCCTGGAGGTAGCCCTCAACCAATAGCAGGTAAATACTCCAGCTTTCTTGTTTTTCAACTGCGACAACTCTAGATTAGATCCCACACTGTCTCCCAGAGCTCCTCAGTGGGATCGAGGCCTAGGTGCCCACAGGGTGACTGCCTTCACAACACACCTTTTATTGGAGTCCTTCTGTCCCCACTCTCTGGTATTTCCTAAGATCACCTTTCGAATAAATTTCTTGCATTCAAATCTTTGTCTCAGTGTCTACTTCTGGGGGAAAACCAAACCTGGACACTACCTAAAGCCATCCCTGGTCTTCTTTCTCCCATTCAAGGCAGATTAACTGATATGTCCTTTTATCCCCATCTCTTGCTAAGGCTGCTTGATCCCATAAATACAAGGGCTACTTTTTAATAAATTCTTTGTCTTGTCTACAGCATTAGACACCACTGACCATTTGCTCCTTCTGGAAAAGAAATGACCTCTTGGTTGCCACTTCATCATAGCGTTCGTTTGGATATCAGTGTAACCAAACTCATGCTGGCTTAACCATGTCACTCTTGCAATTCTCTGGAGTAGAGTGAGGTGCCACCACCTCATCTGCTGTCATTGTTCCTTGAGTGCATTTCCACCTCTAGCATTTCTCTTTGTTTTTGTCTCATTGGCTAGATTATAAGCTCCTTAATTAAGGCAAAGAAAAAAAATTCCCTCAGCATCAGGGACAGTGCATAGCACAAACATGTTTGCTTTTCAATGTTGAATAAACTAGCTGGTGAAACTGTACAACAGCCACGACATCATGACAATCAAGATTGACCCATCTTCCTTTATTCTCTAGCCATGCATAGATGTGTCCACCTGAAAATTCACGTGGAAGACTTGTACGCACACAAACACAAACACTTAGATGAACTTCCTGAAAATAAACAAAGGAGTACGCACAGAGAACAATGAAAGCTCCAGACTCAAACACTTTGGTGATAAGTTAAGAGTCAAAATCAAACTTAGTTGCAGTGATAATAAGTGCAGAGGGAGGCTGTGTAACATGAGCTAACACTTTAGATACAACTTATTTAATCTTCATGGTAGCCTTGTAGGGAACATACAGGTTGAGCACCCGGATTTAAAAATCCAAAATCCAAAACGCTCCAAAATCCGAAACTATTTGAGTGCCCGACATGATGCCCAAAGGAAATACTCATTGGAACATTTCAGATTTGCAGATTTAGAATGCTCAACCAGTAAGCATAATGCAAATTTTCTAAAATCCAAAAAAATCTGCAATCTGGAACACTTCTGGTCCCAAGCATTTCAGATAAGGACTACTCAACCTGTAATACCTTTTGCATTCTGTGTATGGAAACTGAGACCCAGAGAGTTTCACTGCCTTGCTTTGTGTGCTCCAATTTTTTTTATTTCAGCTTATTATGGGGGTACAAATGTTGAGGTTACGTATATTGCCCTTGTACCCCTCTTCCCTGTGAGTCAGAGCTTCAAACGTGTCCCTCCCCTAGACGGTGTCATCGCACTCATTACGTATGTATATACCCATCCCCTTCCCCCCCCCCATCTGCCCAACAAATGTTATTCCTATATGTTGTGTGCCCCAATTTTTAAGTGATGGAGACTAGATCACAACTCGGGCCCGTGTTCCTCTCCACACTACATAGTTTCCAGTGGGGATTATGCTTTACACATTCAACAAGGTTTTACTGCAACTGGAAGGTGGGATGAGACTTGAGATTTTGGGAATTGGCTATAACTTTCTGGGAAATAACAGACTTTTGCCAAAAATATTTCTTTAAAAATAAAGTAAAAATACAACAAGACTACATTACTGCCTTTGGAGCAATGACTACTCTTAGGGTTGGCTTCAAGACATAACAGGTAACTAACGAATACCTTCTTCCATTTCAAGATTCTTGGTATAATAAGGAAAAAACCATGTATCCTCCATGACAATCTTGTACAATCAGAAAAAAAAATCAAAGCTTCAGACAGCTCTCTTTTGACATCCTTGCTAATCAGAAAATTACTTTTCACACGAGTACTTAGAATTAAATAGTGATTCGTTACATTTTTGTGACAGCCCACTCCTTGAAAAAATGTGGACATATAATAGATTCCATTTGATAATCACAATAATAATCAGACTTGGGTTTTCTAGAGAAATTTTCTTCTTAAAGGAGCATTGCTTTATTTTTTTTTTTCTTTAAAACCATTGAAATTTTTTTGACCATAATAGAATCATACTTTTAAACAGCTTTTCTCACATTTTCCTTTTAGGATGTCTAATGAGCAAGTTATTTATAAGCTTGACACAGAGGAGAACATGAATGTTCTTTGTGACTGTTGTTTTTTTTTTTTCCTGGTTGTTAAAGTGTTCCTTAAAGTGAGCTCAGTTACATACATGTTTCTGCAGTAGGTGACCTTCTCTGGTTGCCTTTATGAGGACACTATTGCTCCTTTTGGATTTTCTCATGCAAAAGCACATACATCTTTGTTTTGTTAACATTTTTGAGGCCTTACTGAGCACTAAGCACTGTGCCAATTACTGTACATTTTCTTATTCAATTCTCATCCCTTGTCACACTTAATTATGACAATAATCCTACAAGGTAGGCACCACAATTGGCCCCACTTAACAGATGAGAAAACTGAGGCTCAAAAGGGTTAAATAATTTACACGGGATTACTCAGTCAAGAGGTGAACGAGCAGAATTAGAGGCCGTGTCAGGCCGACTCCAGTGTCTGTAGGTTTTACTGCTAAGCTACTGTGCCTTCCTAATTTTACAGAGCAATCAGACTGATCTTCTGCAGGAGAAATGCCTTCCAGTGGGTTAAGTAAAAGTTAGCCTTAACTGTCCAATTGCCCAGGCATTTAGCAACTTGCTGGAGGCACTAGTAGGTAGGAAAAAAAAAATCACCTGTGTTTAACAGAAAAGGGCCAGGGTTTGCTGACATATTTAGTTAATCCACATAGAGATCGCTGATGAGGAATCTGGCTAATTAGTTGTGGAATTTTTAAAAATGAGCAGATGTGCTATGGTGAAATGCATTTTACTTCCTGAACCTTCAGGGAAAGCACTGGGTATGTTCTGAGGCTGTGTGTATTTAACGTATCTTGATTGAACATTCAGCTGCATGTTTTGCAAGACTCAGGTATCCTGGCTTTGTTCCAACATAGATAATTACATTCTGCTTCAGTTGTCCGTGCAGCCTCAGGTAGGTACAAGGTTAATGATATTAACTACAGCTAACCTACTGTGCACCAGAACATATTGGGAGATTTCTATGCATCATAGAAATGATCCTTTCCACTATCCTGCAGAGTGAACCTTATTTTAGCCTCTATCATGGGGAAACTGAGGCCCAGACTGAGGTTAAGTGACTTGCCTAAGGCTACATACTTTGTAGTAAGTAGCAAACCAGAAATGCAAACTTTTATTCCTACACTCGTCATTTGACAAAAATGCACTTAACCCAAAAAGTTAAAGGGTACAGAAGGGATAGGATTTGTATTTCAAAGGATTAAAATCACAAAGAATTAATTTTAAAATTGAATTTAATCTTAAAATTATAAAGGATTTAATTTCTTTGATAGCTAATGAATTTGAATATTTTGCAAATTTTCTGCCTTCTTTCAAGAATTATGTCTCACAATGAAAAATGAGTTTCCTTCTAGCCCTCAGCCCTCCAGTTTCCCTTCCCAGAGGCCCGCCCTCACATGTTCTTACGTATCATTCAATATATTCTGTGCATCTACACCTGATTTTCTCTTTGAAGTTGCTGTTAGAAGTTGTTTGGCTGAAATGGACTATAGCTCTGTACTGGTTTCCTATTTGGAATTTATAAATGCATTGGGAGTGAAGTAGTGAAGGGTTTTGTATGAATATCAAAGCAGAGGCTGTTCTACACATCTTTCAGGAAAAGTTATCAAGAACAGCAAGTGGTATATTTATATAGTTGGGAGAGGTAGAGAATGTCAGAAACTAGAATATCATGGGCAAATTATGTCTTCCCTTTTTTCTGGGCACAGAGAAAATTATATCTTCCTTTTAATATCCAAGTACGCAGACACAGAGACCAGTTATCATGTGTACAAAGTATTTTTAAACTTTTTTTTTTACATACTAATTTAACACCAACATTTTCCCAACGTCTCAAACATTTTCTAAAATGTTATTTATAATCACAGTATAACATCTCCTTAAATGAATGTGCTGTCATTTAATCAATATTAGTCTTATCTACATTTAGGTTGTTTCTATAATTTCACCACTTTACATAAGTAAT